TTCCGGCTTGACATGCACTACATAGCTTATCCTTCTCAAATGTGACATCTTTCAAGCCTCTTACTAGATCATGCTTAATCAACTTGTTCAATTGTTTTATTTCAATATGACCAAGCCTTCTATGCCATAACCAACCCATGCTAGACTTAGTGAGCAAATATGTTGACAATTGAGCTTCTCTAGCATTGAAATCAACCAAGTATAGATTCTCATATCTAAATCTTTTGAATATCAAGTTAAAGCCATCTACACTTATGATTTCTATATCATCCACACCAAATATGCACTTGAAACTAAGATCACACAACTGAGCTACCGACAACAGGTTAAAGTTCAAGCTCTCTACTAGTAGCACATTGGAAATGCTCAAGTCATTGGATATTATAATCTTACCAAGCCCTATGACTTTGTCTTTGCCATTGTTACCAAATGTGATACTATCAACGCCATTGCTCTCATTTGTGTTGATTGAATTGAACATTTTTAAATCACCAGTCATGTGTTGTGTACACCCACTATCCAGCACCCAATGCCTTCCTCCGGCTTTATAATTGACCTACAAAAGAAGATCAATTCTTTTTAGGTACCCAAACTTTCTTGGGTCCTTGAAGGTTGGTTACTAAGCTCTTTGGCACCCAAATGGCTTTCATCTTTGAGCCTACAATTGGTGCACCAATGAACTTAGCATGCACACCATTGGCACCCTTGGTAAGTAAATAACAAAAATGAAACTTAATTGAGCATACATTAGCATTCTTATTCTTGTTTTTGCAATATTGCTCTACATGCCCCACTTGCTTGCATCTATTGCAAAACCGATCATTGCCCTTCACAAAACTATTCTTATGAGTGACAAAGGTCACCTTGCTTTTCTTGAGGGTATAGCCTAATCCCTCTTTGTTGAGAGAAAACCTTTGACTATCCAAGCACTTTAGCAAGCGGGCATCTCCACCATAGGCATTGCCTAAGGCACGAGTGAGCTCATTCACCTCTTTCTTAAGGGTCTCATTTTCCACCATTAGTGATGCATCACAAGTAAAACCATCACTCAAAGGTAAAGTAGAAGTGGTAATGCTACAAGAAGGGTTAGTGGGAGCAATAACAATGGACTTATAAAAAGATTCATTAAGAATATCACATGTTAGTCCCACATCACAAGACACAATCACTTACTCCTTCTTGTCTTCCTCCTTCTTGACTTGCTCGACAAGAGAGGAGTGAGCCTTTTTGAGCTTAGAGTGAGCTTTGCCAAGCTTCTCATGATCTTTTCTTAGACTCTCATGAGAAGCATTGAGCTCATCAAAGGATTGCTCAAGAGATTTGATCTTTTTGTGCAATTATTTGCATTCCTTTATCTTCATCTCAAAGCAAGTATGTACTTGCTCACACATATCCAAGAGCTCCTCCTTGGTATACTCATCATCATCTCTCCTACAATGATCACGTTCACAGTCATCATCACTCACATCATATTTTACCTTGGTAGGCTTTGCCATTAGACAAGTCGATGGAGTGTCGAAGATGGATGGCTTGTTGTTGATGGTGATGCTTGCTAGTGCCTTCTTGATGGATTTCTTGTCATCACCACTAGAACCATCATCATCATCGGAGGTGCCATCACTATCCCAAGTGACTACATAGCCACTTTCCTTCTTCTTCTTTGTGAAAGCCATTTTCTTCTCCGTCTTCTCCTTCTTCTCCTTCTTATGCTTCTTCTCATCCTCATCATTGTCACTATTGTAGGGACAATCCGCTACAACGTGATCCGAGCTCTTGCACACGTAGCATCACCTCACATACTCCTTGTTGTGATCTCTTCTCTTTCTTGCACCATACCCTTCTTCTTCTTTATGAATTTGCCCATCTTGTGCACAAGGAGAGCCATAGCTTCATCATCAATGTCACTAGCATCTTCGTCATCACTTGATTCTTTCTTGGACTTGTCCTTGTTCTTAGATGATGAGCTAGCCTTGAAAGCTACACTCTTCTTCTTCTTGTCTTCATCTTCCTTCTTCTCATCCTTATCAAATCCCTCCCTTTCCACACAGTATGTCTCTTGTGTCATGACATCACCTAGTGCTTGGTTAGGAGTAAGCTCCTTCAATCCTCCTCTTATGATGAGCAATCTCAACATCTTCAATCTTGAAGGTAAGCACATCAAGAACCGATGAGACACATCATCATCTTTGATTTTCTCTCCCAAGGCCTTCAAGTCATTGACAATCACTTGTAATATATGGAACATCTCTGGAATGCTCTCATCATCCTTCATCTTGAAGCTTGTCAACTTGTCCTTAAGAATGTATAGCTTGGCACTCTTGACCGTCGGTGTGCCCTCATATGTTTCTTTCAATCTCTTCTAAACTTCACTTGCTCTCTCAAGATCCTTGATTTGCTCAAACACCTTCGAATCAATGGCATTGTAGATGGTGTTGAGAGCCATTGTATTGCATTGCTTGTTGGCTTTGTCTTGGTTAGTGAGATTGTCAGGATCAAGAATAGCATAATCACTCTCGGTCACATCCCACACTTGATCGTTGATTGAACCAAGATACATCTTCATCTTTCTCTTCCAATAATTATAGCATGTGCCATCAAAGAACGGTGGTTTGCCCCCCACATGATTGAACACAACTTGGGCCATCTTTTGACACCGAGGTTGTTAAGCCTACAATCAAACGGTGACCACAGCTCCAATACCACTTGAAAGGTCCTAATATGGCTAGAGGGGGGTGAATAGCCTATTTAAAAACTCTATAAAGCACTAAAGCAATTGATTAGTATAACAAACGGTGTGATGCAATTTTCTCTAGCTCTACAAGGGTTGCAAGCCATCTATCCCAACAATTCTAGTTGCTATGATCACTAGGCACACTCAAGATATAAGTCACTACTCACTAAGAGCTCTCAACAAGGCTATACTAAAGAGCTCCACTAGAAGAAACTAAGCTAGTAAACAAGCTCTCAAAACTAGCTACACTAAAGAGCTTGCTATAACTAGTTTGTAAGAAAGTAATGGAGTGACTAGGATGATTATACTGCCGTGTCGAGAAATGAACCAATCACAAGATGAATCCAATCAATCACCGGGAGAAATCCAATCACACAAGAGACACAAGATTTTTCTCCCGAGGTTCACGTGTTTGCCAGCACGCTAGTCCCCATTGTGTCGACCAACACTTGGTGGTTCGACAGTTAAGAGGTGTTGCACGAACCTTATCCAACAAATAGACACCGCAAGAACCTACCCACAAGTGAGGTAGCTCAATCACATGAGCATTAATTTACTAGAGATACCTTGCGGCTCTTCGTCGGGAAGGTGTAAGACCCCTCACAATCATCGGAGCCGGCCATGAACAATCACAAACACGTGCCGAAGCTCCTCCGCTGCTCCAAGCCGTCTAGGTGGTGCCAATACTAGATGCAATCACTCAAGCAAATACACTTGGAATCACTCCCAATCTCACTATAATGATGAATCAATAATGAAGATGAGTGGGAGGTGTTTGCTTAGGCTCACAAGGATGTCAAGTATGTCAAAGTGCCAAGAGAGTGAGCCTAGAGCCCGACATGGCCAACGGTTAGGAACAAGAAAGGGCTGACTACGTGGTGACCAGACGCGCCCAAGCCAGCGTCCGGTCCACCGGATGCAGCCACGCGTCCCCCTCTTCAAACCTCAGCCACATATCTCCAACGGTCAAGCAGCTCCACGCCAATGGCTACCCTATGACCGGACACACCCGAGCCTAACCTGACGCTGCCCCGCAGCGTCCGCTCGTGCGCGCGCCAGTGCTTCCTCACCAACAATCGAACGCGTACTTAGTGTGACCGGACGCTCCACAACGTGGAGTCCGGTCACTTTCAGTAAGCACCCCGAGAGGGTTTTAGAGGACAGGACGCGTCATATCACTAGGGACCGGACGTGCCCTGGAGTCCGGTCAGCACTTCGCCTCTCTGCTTGCACAAACCCTACCGACGTTAGCATACGTCACTGCAGACCGGACACAGGTCCTGCATGTCCGGTCTCGCCTCCTCTGCAGAGTCCGGTCCGGACTTGGCCTTCCCGGCCACGCACAACACTGACGAGACGCGCCCGAGGTGAGTCCGGTCACCCCAGCGCTAGAGTCTGGTCATGTATCTTCGTCTCCTTTTCTTTTTCTAAGTCCACAACCACTTCACCTTTACTTCCAACTTGCTAACCATAAAGTGTACAACTTATGTGCACGTGTGTTAGCATTTTTTTAAACATTTTACAAGGGTCAAAGTTAGCACACTAGGTTACTAAATGCATGTGCAAGAATCATGTCACCCGGTGGCACTCGATGTTGAGCACTTGATCATCTTTTGGTCATCACCATCCACCATGATCATCCTCTTGCTCCACCACTTGGAATGAACTATCTTCTCTTGTCTACACACTTAGCACTTAGGATTAGTCTATATGTTTCATCAATTATTCAAAACCAAACTAGGGCTTTCAGCGGTGTGGGCCCGCTTGGGGTGGACAGCGTGGGTGGGGCAAGTCGTTCAAGCGGCGTGAAATCCGAACGGGCGGGACATGCTGCACGGAGGCGGCGCGGGGAGCTGCGCCTAGACACGGTCATAGGGCCAGATTAGCCCCCCAAAAAACAAGTTCTCCATCTCTTGAGCTCTCTCTGTTCTCAACAATCTTGGCCGCCCATGTGTCCGACGCACCTACACCGGGCAACACCGAGCATCGAGGCAAGTCGAAGCATCGAGATCAGCATATATTGCTCCAAGCATCGCTCCTTCACGGCTTACAAGCATCGATGATTCTTCACTCTCACGACACGGCACTGCGGGTGCTCAGTGGGGCATCTCTACGTACGTGGCGCACCGCGCACCTTTTGGTAGCTAATAATTTCAGATTTGCTAACGCCAAACAGCTAGATCGAGACATTGGAGCAACTCAATAAAGGAGCTAGAGTGATTCCGGCACCCGAGGACGAGTGGACGACAAGGCAGGCACGCGGGATCACATGGGCGACGCCGGCGAGACGCGGTCGCTGCGGCTGGCCGCCACCGCGAGGAAGTGGCTGGAGGACGTCAGCATCGACCGCGAAGGCCACGTCCACCCCGCCGTAGCTAGCGGGGGGCAGGCGCTCGCCGTGCCCGCGACTGCTGGCGCCCGCGTCTCGCTGGCCGAACCCGGCCGCGTCATCTGCTCGCTCCGCGTGCGCGCGCCGCTCACCGTGCGTTGCCTTGCCTTGTCTGCCGACGCGACGTCGTCGGCCTCCGCACGCGAGCGCGCGTCTTGGATGCTCTCTGAGCCCGGATCTGACCTGGTGCTTTCTTGTTCACGCGCGTTCGCGCGCATGCAGGACGCCGGGGGGAGGTGGCACGCCGGGGCCATCGCGGCGGCGGCGGACAACGTGTGCGCGGCGGCCGTGTTCACAGTGCTTGGCGCGGACGTGCTCACCGTCCAGTACGGCCTGTCCTACTTCTCGCCCGCCCATCACGACGTGCGTGCGTACACGACGGCATAGTCAACACTCGATAGTAACACACCACACCAAATCTGCCATTTTTATGTCCACGTACGCCGTCTGATTCTGCGTCACTGCTCCGGCCGGCCTCAATCGCAGGAGGAGGTGGAGATGGACGGGCGCGTGGTGGGCCGGAAGGGGAAGCTGGTGGCTGTGACGGTGGAGGTGCGGAAGAAAGAGTCCGGCGAGCTGGTGGCAATCTGCAGGCAGTGGATGGCACCTATCCAGCTGACAACAAAGTGCAACACAAGCACAAGTAGCAAGCTCTGAAGAAATGCGAACATCTCTTGCAACGGAGTATCAGGGCATGTAATTCACACGAAAATCTTAGTATATTTCAGCAAATGTTGGGTCAAAGTGTTGGTAGCAATACATCTTCACGGCATCAGTGTACGACAGTACGAGTAACTTTAAAAAAACGGTGTACGAGTATTGAGCACATTCGATCCCATCGAGTGTAGGGCCTTTTTTTTTGTTGCCTCAACACTCAAAGTAAAAAAAAAAAAAAGTAACTGCTAAGATGTTCTTGAGCATTACCTCCGCCTGCGAGGTCTGTTAAGCTTGGGCCTTCCCCTGCTTGTTAAACGCAAACATCATATAAAAAGAAAATAATTTTGCTCAAAAAATATATAAAAAGAAAATAATCCATGAGTTGCATGTTAAACACAAATATCGTATGTTAAAATGAAATCATCAATAAGCTATTTCCCTATATTTGAAATATATATCTTTAGAGTTGTGCAAAAAGATTAACAGTTGGATCAAATTACTTGTTACCCTTCGTATGTGCCACATGGAAATAGATGCTCGTTCATTTGTATAAGAGTGATGGTATCATGTTTAGGGCAAAACAAAAGAGCAAAAAGCGACAAGAAGTTCTAGGATGACATGTTTTTATTTTTTCTATTAAAAATTAGAAGACTAAAACAAAAAGTATTTTAAGTAATGTTTTTACCTCTATTCTATAACATAAGATATCCATCCTAAAATGAAAAAAAGATATATATATATATATATATATATATATATATATATATATATATATATATATATATATATATATATATATCGGGGCTATATGGAACGAACCATATACCTCCTTGGTAAAACTGATCAAATGGATAATTGTCGAGATGATTTGAACTATTTCAAATACCCAACATGAGAACATTAGATTCAATTGCTAATCATGAATGATTGGACTGTGCCGCTGTTGCTTGCGTCTGAACAACCTTGCTTGTTCCGCTTGTAGGTGTTTGTGTTGGTATTTGTAGATTTCCAGTCCCCTCTGCCAGATTTTCTCCTTTTTTCCCCCTTCTTCTTATGTGGAGGTCTTTTGTTGTACACAGTAATGAGATGCTGCCACGGGCCTAAATAGCCCCGGTGGGCCACTGAGGTGTTGTGCCCAAGACAGGCCAGTAGCACGGGTATTGTAGCGTGATGCAAAACCCATCTAGGTATAGGATTAGGAAGAGCGTAGAAAATAGGATTACTTGTAAGTCAAGTTGAGTAAGTTTGGATCCACCTTATAAATACAAGGGGAGATGTATCTATTGAGATTAAACAAGAATAATCTAAGGAAACCTACAGCCTGTTCGGTTGGTTGGTTCGTTTCGTTGCTGGTTCGTGAAGAAGTACTGCTGGCTAGTTTGTGTGAGCGAAAAATACTGTTTCGGCTGGAAATTTACAATCATTTACGACAAGCCACAGCCAAACGAACAGACTGTAATCCTCTTTCCCCTTTCCTTTCTTTAAGCTGCTGGCAGCCATGTTGCCCTCCCTGCGCCTAGACGGCTACAACACTCTACTACCACCGCGCCCCCTCTCTCTAGGGCAGCCGTTCCACAAATAATCCACCCCAAATCCCCTTAATTCTACCCAAAATCAAGCATTATCACAAATGCTGGTTGAACTGTATCTTGCTTTCTCAATTTTGCAGGGGAGATGATTCTCTGCGAAATTGTGGCATAATCAGAAGGGTAAGAATGCTTGAGATCAAAATACTCTAGATGAATTCTTAGAAAAGTCTTTCAATTTTATCTCAAAATTAAGTATGGTCACAGATGTTGGTTGAACCGTATCTTACTTTCCCAGAGTCTGCAGAGAAGACGATTCCTTGCGAAATTATGGCATAGTCAGAAGGGGAAGAATGCTTGAGATCAAAATACTCTAAATGCGTTCTTAGAAAAGTCTCTCTGATATTATCCAATAGAATGAGGGATGAGTGGACACTTATTATGTCAATGTTTTATGTCCATCATTCCTTGTCAAATTCAAAAGCTCATTAAAATCATTTGTAAATGTAGGACAGTGAGACAATATACCTTTTAATATTACTTCTACAAGTTGTCAGTTGTCCTAATAACAGTATTTAAACTCGATACTACTTTGGATCATCGTCATAATTTAGATCTATCATAATATCATCACAAGTAAGAGAATCAAAACAGAACTTGCTGTTAAAAATTCTATGACCATCATAATTAAACGCAAAATGACAATCGTGTAACATTTAGACAAAATAGGCTCATCAATGTGTGTACTTAACCCTTGAACAGTCATAAACAAAACCATATTATTTTGAAGCAAATAATCAAGTAGCTTCTTGTAATTCTTCTTATTTTTCAAAACAAAATTCTTAAGATAAGATGTCATATCAAATAAATAGAAATCATCAATTAAAAATTATATGTATTGTATTGATAATTTGATGTATCTCATTCCATGTGTAGATGTTTTATCTTGTCTTTGGTTGCTTATCACCGTGCAGCTTCAACTTCTCTTTGATGGCAACTAGAGTTGGATATGTGTTATTATGACAAGATTAAACTACAACATCAAAGTCTCCCCTAACGATTCCTATGGATTATCCCTAAATCTTTCACAAGCACAAACTTTAGTCACTATACATCGTACATGTGACCGATCTATCTATCGTAAAAGTGGTGGAGAAAACTTCTAGAAAATCAGTGATATTTTTCTTTGGAATTCTTGTTTTTGTGCTAGCTTTAGTTTGGTCATTTGGACTTTGGAGTTCCTTTGTCTGAACTAGATCTGGGACGTTATGGATGACTGATGCATGAAAAAGAGCATGCTAAAGTTGTTATATATTAAATCAGAATTTAGAATGTTGAATCCATTCACAGGCTGACTGAAAGCTGCTCAATTAGGCTTGATGTAAATAAATATCCCAAAAAACTCATCTTTCTTTTATGCCGGTTACTATCCCTAATTTTTTATTCCTTTTCTTTTACGAGGGCTTCTTCATCTAATTGATGATTTGACCTCTTAATTCACAGCATAGTGGAAAATATATAGATGCCTAAATTCTTAAAGAACTACGAGAGAAAGGTTACAGCTAAAGATACATGACATCTCAACGTGTACATGGTAAAGGATTCAATTTGCCCTACGCAAGAACTAGAGAGAACCGCGTATTGGACGCCAATGTCCGTGTTGGACCACTAATCATCAACCATATGAGCAAGGGTTGGGCTAGCAGTAGCACACAAGTGATGGATCAGGAATCAATGCTGCTCAGAGTGAAAGGATTGGATTTCCATTATCGTGAGTACTAACTCTTGTTTCAGTATCGAGTTTTTTTAGACATGATAGCCTTGACTACTCTATTTATATGTGCATTGAATTCATACCCCAAATAGATTATGTTCCCAATAATTCTTCTCTTACAATAAACTTCATTTTGAACAAATGCCTTGCAATTGTTGAAATGAGAAAGGGAGCAAAATTGGAACCACTTAGCCTTTTGTTTTAGGAAGTTGAAGTTTAGAACTTCAGCGGCCCTAGGATAGAAGGGTTATTGTCTGCAGCGTATACGGGGGTGTTTAGTTCCCCAATTTTGCCAAAAGTTTTGGTGTTTTAGCCTATCTTTTTGCAAAATGGATCTAAACACCATGCACCCAAAACACCAAAAGTGGGGCTTCAAAAGTTTTGGCATTTGAGACCCAAGAGGCCCAAAACTTGTAAAAATCGCGTTTGGGGGAGAGCCGGACGCCCACTACCCCTACAGCCGCCCACCCCGCCGCTCGGACGCCCACTACCCCCGCGGGTGGGGGAGGAGGAGAAGGCACCGCCGGTGTGGAAGGAGGAGGAGCCGCCACTAGATATGCAAGCCGCCGTTTTCGGCGTCGAGAAGTAGGAGCCACCGTCAGGCCACAACCATCCACACGAGCCAAGGCACCGCTGCGATGTGGGGAGGCCCGGATGTGGACGCCGTCGCCGGTCAAGGAATGGAGCTGCACACCCCCAGTTGAGGAAGGGTGGCCGCGCGTCGCCGTTCGTGGCGTGGATGAGGGCGCCGTGGTCGCCGTCGGGCCACACCCATCCACGCGAGCCAAGGCACCGCTGCGATGTGGGGAGGCGGGGATGTGGACGCCGCCACCGGTCAAGGAATGGAGCTGCACACCCCTAGATGGGGAGGGGTGGCCTCGCGCCGCCGTTCGTGGCGTGGATGAGGGCGCCGTGGCCGCCGTCGGGAAGGGAAGGGCCACTGCGGCCGCCGTAGTGGTGGAGGGAAGCCGCCATGGCCACTGTCGGGTTGGGGAGGGGTTGAAGACACCGCCGCTCTTATCCGGAAGGGAGGAGAGAGAGAAAATAGGAGGTAACAATGAGGGCAAATCGGTCTTTTATTCATATGATGCTAAAGTTTTGCTATGGATCTAAACACCTAAGCCTAAAGTCAGAATGCCAAAACTTTTGCACCAAAAGATTTGGTGCCAAAACTTTTGGTATGGCTGTTGCATGGGATGAAAACGGTCGGAAACGGTCTTACAATATAGAAAACGAAAGCGGTCGGTTCGGGATATTTCTACATTTTAGCAATTAAAGAGTACAAAAAATGGTTGAAAATGGTTGCGAAACCAATTGAAAATGACAAATTTTTATGTTTGGCAAAATTCGGAAACAATATCATAATATAGAAAACGGTATCATAATATAGGAACGAAAGCGGTCGGTTCGGAATATTTCCGTACCGTTTTCATCCCCTAGTTGCATCTAAACACCCCCTAAATGCTTGAAATAGTCATGACCCAACACACTCAATATCCTCTTAAAGTTACTGCTGGAGTCCATGACATTGTCCAAAAAAGAAAACGATTCATTGCACATAGAGCTCCAATCTTCACAGGGAAACATACCGAATAAAAAAGGTAATTAACTTATTGTTCGATGCATCTGTTTCACTCATTTTGAATCATGGTCAATAGTTACCAGTTGTTTTGTTTTAAAAATATTAGTTTGCGACCATT